TGCTTCACTGTTGTAGGCCTTGGTTTCCCCATTTATGAAATTGATGGGATTCTATCGGATGATCTTCAGTATTCTGGCTCTAAAATACTTTGATCCTAATGAAATGGCTCCAGGTTCTTTCCCAGCCAAGAGGTCTATTCTGAAAGCACAAGAAGAGAGAAAGGAATGCTTTGTGCTCTGGCCCTTCATACCTCTGAATCTGGCAACGCTGAGGTTTAATAAACACTAAGAAAAACAAAACAAAGAAAAAAGACAGTCAAGCTGGGCACTAATGCTGTTAATTAGATTAGTTCTATTAGAAGAATAGCTGAATACTCCTGGAGAATATTCCTCAGAGGCCTCACAATTTTGGAGCCATGGCTTTTCTCCTTCAAACTCTCTAATTGCTACTTCACCACAGCTCTCTCACACCATGGAGATACCAGCCTTGGGCCCAGTGAGGAAGTACTCAGGTGTCTAAGAATAACTAACAAATGAAAAGTTGTACAAAGTATATCAGTGATGGAATGTTACGTTTTGTCTACTTTGTCTACTTGCGGTGTTTTAATTTAATAAAGTTTATGCTTACTGTTCTTAACCCAAACCATGTAGAATAATGTTGTGTCAAGTTGTTTCTATTAATAAGCCAGAAGAGTTTCTTGAATGAGGCAGGAGGTGGAGAGGCAAACAAGGCATGATTGATTTAGCAACTCTCCAGTGTGTTTTTAAAGCACACAGTTTATTTCAGCTAGTATTTTCAAAGTTACCACTTCTTAGACCTCAGAGGTCCTATAGAGCACACTTTGTAGAACTCATATATGTTGTGGTGTTGTTGTTAAGTGCCGTCAAGTCATTTCCGGCTCATAGCGACCCCACGCACAGCAGAATGAAATACTGCCCGATCCCGCGCCAGCCCCACAATCCCTGCTATACTTGAGCCCATCATCGCAGCCACCGTATCAATCCATCTCGTTGAAGGCCTCCCCCTCTTTCGTCGACCCTCCACCCTACCAAGCATGACATCCTACTCCAGGGAATGGTCCCTTCTTACAACATGACCAAAATAGGTGAGACGAAGTCTGGCCATTCTTGCTTCCAAGGAGCGTTCTGGCTGCATTTCCTCCAGGACAGATCTGTTAGTTCTTTTAGCAGTCCATGGTACTTTCAGCATTCTCCGCCAGCACCACAACTCAAAAGCATCAACTCTTCTTCGGTCTTCTTATTCATTGTCCAGCTCTCACATGCATACGAGGCAATTGGAAATATCATGGCTAGAATTCATATATAATTTATTTTAAACATGCATTAGGTATTTGAATGGAAATGGATATTTTCATTGTTAATCATAGAACCGAAAAGCCCATTGCTCTTGAGTCATTTCTAACTCATGGCAACCATATGGGTACAAAAACCAAACGCACTGCCTTCAAGTCATATCTGACTCATGGCAACCCCTCTTTGGGTTTCCGAGGCAGTATCACTACGGAAGTAGATTGCCCAACCTTCCTTCCGAGGAATGGCTGGTGGGTTTGAATCGCCAGCCTTCCGGTTAGCGGTCAAATGCTTTAGACCTCTAAAGCTCCTCCTGTGGGTACAGCAGAGTAGAAATGAGTGAACTCACAGAGTTTTCTTGGCTGTAATCCTTTTCAAAAGATCACCATTCCTTTCTTCCACAGTGCCACTGAGTAGGTTTGAAGCACCAATCTTTTTCTAACAGTCTAGTGCAAACCATTGCACTACCCAGAGACCTTTTAGTCTTCGAGGCATATTCCTGGTTGTATCTAGAATACTTTTAATTATATTAGTTTTTTTTTTTCCTTCATTACATCTTTTATTTAATTATTTAATTAAAACATTGCATTAGTACTCATGACACTTTAAATTCCCTAGGAAAGTTTACAGCTTTTAACCAAGTCTTCAGTGCCAGTATGCTCTGGTGGCTAGTGCCTCAGGCATTTGACTGCTAACCAGAAAGCTAGAGGTTCAAACCCACCAGCCACTCCTCGGGAGAAAGACTGGGCAATCTACTTTCATAGAGATACTGCCTTGGAAACCCAGGGAGGAGTCACTTAAGAGTTGGATTCGACTCGAAGGTAGTGAGTTTTTTTTTTTTTTTATTTGTCAATGGCAGTGGCATGCTAGACATCAAGGTTATTGAGTCAATACCATTGATTCAGTAAGCATTCTAGAAGGATATGTGTTCTACATACATAGAAACAGAAAACCTGTGTTGTTGTAGTAGTCCTAGATAAACCAAAAAACCAAATCCATTGTTGTCAAGTCAGTTCTGAGTCATGGTGACCACATGTTGCTCCACAGGGTTTTCAAGGCCGTGACCTTTCAGAAGCAGACTGAGAGACACTTCTTTGGAAGTTCCTCTGAGTGGGTTCCACTAGCCTTTTGGTTAGTAGTCAAGCACATGACCATTTGTGCCACCCAGAAAATCCCAGCTAGTTACTGTAATTAGTCCAGGAAATGTCAGATAGGAGTTACCAAGAGATTGAAAGACAGTGTGGAGTCAAGGAAAATCCTGATAAGGTTTCCTTTTCAAAGCAAGTACTATGTTTTCTCTTTTGGAAACTGTGTATATGGGTGAGTAAAACTAAGTTTTAATTACTTCAAGAATGTGAAAGCTGCTCTTAACACCACCTCTTTGACATCCTGTGCAAGTTTGTCAACTTTCATAATCCTTTACTTTCTCCCATAGCAAAAGAGTGACCCTTAAATATCTTACATTCTTCTAATGAATGTTGAATTAATACTTATGTAGTCATATTTAAGTTTAAAATGCTCTCTGTAAGGTAAGAAAGAATGGTAATGTCTTTTATGAAGGCAAAGGAAAAATTATTTGATAACTTCACCACCCTTAATCATCCATTTCATAATCATAATCTTGGAAAAGTTGGAAAACAGAAAGGCTCATCAACTTACAAATAAAATATTTAGTTTGCTGTGTTTTATTCTCTTCACAAATCATTGACTATGTTTAATTAAAAGGAAAAGACAAAACTACTTGATGTTCTAGTCAGAACTGATTTCCTCTCACAGGCAGGCAGGTGAAGATGGGCTGACATTTAGTGTTTTGGGCCTACTTCAGTTTTATCTTTGGTAAAACTAAGAATTTAAAAATACTAACATAGCTGGTTAAAGAAGTTAAGAAAAAAATAGAACTTAGAAATGATTATGCAGTCTTTTCCAAGGAAATTTTTACATAAGAAAGAATAAACAATAAATAAGATTACAAAACCTTCAGAAACACGGTGTCTCAGCAGAGGAGTATTCAAAATTCATGGCGATATCAATGAATTGTTCATGACTTAAGAGGACAGACATTGGGGTAGTATTTGGTTATGAGATTTCCTTGATTTAACCATAAGGAATTACAGGTTTGGAGGTTAAAAAGTTTTACTGGAAAAAGTTGACTTCTCAGACTGTTGATTTTGGTATGTGAGAATGAAAGAGGCAGGGGGGAGTTGTTACAGCTAAGTAGGACCTAGAATACAAAACGTAAACATAGAGTTCAGTTGAAAATAGAGATAAACAAAAGTGGTTATGAGCACTTCAGAGTTCCCCAGTTCAAATACAAGATATAAGCAAACCAAAAAAAAAAAAAAAAAAAGAAGAAGAAGAGAAGCTCTTTTCTACTTTAACCATAAAGAATGCAAAAAAGGAAAACATAGTAATGAAGGAACACATTCTTCTAAGGCAAAGAAAACAAATGAAAGGAGTCCCTTAGTTCAAAACAAGAGAATTTAATTTTGGTTCAACATGTCAGAGATTAGAGAAGAGGCTAGGGAGACATGTTCATAAAATAAGGAATGAGTCTGAGATTAATATGTGGAATCTCCTTGCCACAGAAAACTTTGCATTTTACAGCTGAATGAACTAATTGACAAAGATGGCTCTACAGTAGAATTTGTTTAAATTATTTAGCATCTTAATAAGCAAAATCATTGTTAGCTATCCCTAATAATTATCTTAGTCTTCTCGTTGTAACCTTTTAGCAGAGTTAAAAAGTAAATGAGTGTTTCTGCTTAAGAGGTCTACGTAAGAGAAAAGAAAACATGTTAAAACTGTATGAAGTACAGGAAAAATCCATACCCCAGAAACAGCCTTCAAGCATCAAGGCCCTGGAGTTGGTAGATCCCCATCCCTGGTCATGCACCACATGGGGGAAAATTCTGATGTGCACTCTCATAGATTCAGCAAGTTTGAGCCTTAGTTACCCATAGCTGTAACCCACCCACAACTGCACACTTGATTGGCTGCTTTCTTTAAGTCCTGTCTCACTTCCTATAATCTTATTGCTTCCTGGAATCACCTCCCAAATAAACTAATTGCATCCAAAAAAAATTAAATAAATAAATAAATAATAGGAAATATGTGAACTTGTGTTGTTGTTAGGTGCCGTTAAGTCAGCTCCAACTCATAGTAACCCTGTGTACAACATAGTGAAACACTTCTCGGTCATGCACCGTCCTCACAATCCTTCCTATACTTGAGGCCAGAGTTGCAGCCACTGTGTCAATCCATCTTGTTGACGGTCTTCCTCTTTTTTGCTGACTGTCCACTTTACCAAGCATGATATCCTTCTCCAGGGAATGGTCCCTTTTGACAACATGACCAATGTAACATTAATTTTTAAAAATCTTAAATATACATTATTTACATTCTAATACACTGAGAAGTTTTTCCTCTTTATCTAAAATTGTATTGATCCACTAAGAGTGGTCGGTACAGGTTTAGTTACTATGAGTCTGAATCAACTAAATAAGAATGTGTTTTCTTCCATAAAAGAGCAAAATCTTTATCATCAAAGCTTTCCTCTGATCTTCATGCATTTGTCCATTTTGAAAGAAGATACTAGTCTTGAATTAAACAAAATACCAGAACTGATCTGGCATAAAGAAATCTTTTGTCGAGAAGTCAGTGGCTGAAACATGTCAGCTTTGAAGAGTGCTGTGAATTTACTGTACTTAAAATACATGTTTAATCTTCCTTTCATTCAATTTATTTTTCAGCCTAGCCATTGTTGGATAAGTGAAATGGTGAGACAATTGACAGTCAGCTTGACTGAGCTTCTGAGCAAGTTTTCAAATATTTCTGAAGGCTTGAGTAATTATTCCATCATAGACAAACTTGTGAAGATAGTGGATGACCTCGTGGAGTGTGTGGAGGACCACTCATCTCCGGTAACCTCATAGTCATCGGGCTTGTTTCTCACTACTCTTCCCTAAAAGTCAACTTCATGGCAGTGGTGGTTTTTTGTCCCCCCCAGTTTTCTCTAAAACTTATGCTAATTGTTGAGGGGAGAGGGGTATGGGGCATTTTTATTTCTGTAATTTTGAACTTAAAAATCTTCTTAAAATGAGTACAGAAAATAAGTGTTGGTGGTTATACTGCAGTGATGAAATGAGCATTAAAACTTAAATGTTTTCACTTAAAGAATTTATGAAATTTCTTCACACTAAAATGTAAAAACAGCCCTGTGTTTGTCTTTGTTTCAAAAATGAATGAAGTCCTCACAACTTGGCTGTTGGGTTGGAAATGTTCATTTATGTTTAAATGGAAAATTATCTATAATGAACACTTATACTTGCCCTTTTAGTCATAATGCAATCAGTCCGTTGTTTCTGTATGTCATTAAGTCCATTCTTACTCTTAGGAACTGTCCCATGGGGTCTCTAGGTTATAATCTTTGAGGGAGCAGATTGCCAGGCCTTCTCTCCAGTAGAGTGGCTGGCTAGGGGAGTTCAGACCTCTGACTTTTGGGTTAGCAGCCAAGCACTTAATCATTGCACCACCAGGGCACCTTAATCACTTCATAAGTCACAGCAAAGAAGTACATTTTTGGCACCTTTGAGTCATTTGGTAATTGATTTTCACCAAATTTGGGACACAGGCTTGATTTTACTTTGGCTGCTAAGTATACGAAGGCAGTGTAACCCCAGAGATTATGAGCGTTAAAATCCTGACTCTGTCACTGAATTAGCTATGTGAACTGAATCCCTCTGTGCCTCACTTTATGTCTGAAATGAGGACAATGACAGGTTCTGTCCAATAAGTTGACATTAGATGATAGATGTTGAGGGCTTTAGCATCATGCCTGGCAAAATAAATGTTGTTATTCATTGTTATTATTACTCCTTTTAGTGCTGTGTCTCTAATAGAATATTGGGTAGGGAACCTGCTTTGGTATAGCGTTCAAAAGGCCAAGGTGAAACCTAGAGGACTTCTAGTGGTTTAAACCCAAGTATTAAACATGAGTCTGTAGCATAGCAATGGAATGCTCCCTTCCTTCTCCCATCCATTTCTAGCTGCTCTTCAAGATTTAACATTTATTCCATTTTTGCTCTCTTAATCTCTGAACTTTTTTCATGTTAATAACTTAATCACTGTATTTCATTACTTCTGTTGTATCATTTTCTAATTTCTGAAATCCAGATCTGTCTTACATGATATGTCTTGCACCACTACTGTCTTAGAGTTACTGTCTCATTTTACATCATATTGATACAAATAGTGTGCTGAGTGCCAGGCTTTTCTCTCAGGCACCCCTGGGGGGACTTGAACAACCAACCTTTCAGTTTGCAGCCAAGTGCATTAACTGTTTGCACCACGCAAGGACTCTGGTAAAAAGAATAATAGCTAACATTTATGTAAGGCACTCTGGTGGTATCATTCTAAGAGGTTTATGTATCTATTAACTCAGATAATCTCAAAAAAAAAGCAAACCTCAGAACTAGGGTCCAGCGAAAATGCCATTATTAGTAAACACATTCTTCAGTATTTAGAATACTCTTCCTATCATTGTCATTTAATAAATACTTAATCATATTTCAGTCTTCAACACAAATGTTATCTCCTTCATGATACCTTTTCTGACACGCCCAACTTTTTGTGATTTAGGCTTCTTATGAAGGACATAATTATAGTCCATTGTCTTGACCTCAGTTAAATCTGCAGACTATTTGAGAAATCTAATGCTGTTTTTCTTTTTTTTTTCCTTATAGCATGTAATAAAAGGATCTAAGAACCCAGAGCCCAGATTATTTACTCCTGAAGAATTCTTTAGCATTTTTAATAGATCCATAGATGCCATCAAGGACTTTAGGGTGACATCTGAAACTAGTGGTTGTGTGCTTTCTTCAACATTAAGTCCTGAGAAAGGTAAGACTATAAGTGTGTCCTTGTGTTAACAAGCTTGAATCTTGTATGTGTAGGTAAGAACCTACCTCTGAATCAAATATTTGTGTAGCTATAAAAAGATACGAATGTGTGTGTCTAATTCAAAAGACATACAAGAAACTAATGGTTATGAATTTGTTGGTTTTCAAGCCAAAACAATATTTATCATTTCTAAATTAAAGCATTGTATGTATGTAAACAATATATAAGATAATCACTCATATATTTTCTTTTCTGATATTTGCTCTTTTAAAATTTGCAATTTAAAATTATATTATTCTTCATCCTTAGTATCTTTCATGTTCCCTTCTCACATCTTCTCCTTAAGGTCTAATCTCTGGGTCATGCATCCTGATTCTCACCAATTACTCTGTATTAAGAAGCTCATTCTTTCTCACTGGGTCCTTGTAATACAAAGTCTTAATTTCATTGTCTTTTCATAGATTTTAGTGACAAATTACTAACAATTTGTCATTTTTCATATTAGCATAGGCTTGCAATAAATCTTTGTTCTATAAAGTAACTGTGGTGAATTTCTTAATAAAATAAAGCAGCCGGACCCAGTTTGAAAGAAATAGGATGTGAGTGACCTAGATCTGGGAAGCAGACCCGGAAAGTACTCTGGTATTGCACTTCACCTTGTGGGGACTCTGTAATTTACGTAAATCACGTGTAGCACTGACACATTATTGCTTTCTATTTAGATTCCAGAGTCAGTGTCACAAAACCATTTATGTTACCCCCCGTTGCAGCCAGCTCCCTTAGGAATGACAGCAATAGCAGTAATAGTAAGTACAAATACCTGATTTAATGCATGCATGGCTCCTATTAGCATCCATAGGAGTATTGCATGGGATTCAAAGGACATTCTACAACTATTAATATTAATACTGTTCTGTTACTGTTATGAATTTCCTGGTAATTAAATATTAGGTCTTTAGGATTGGGTTTCCTCAGAGTTTGAGATAGAATTTGGTCAGTTGCCAGTTAAGACTATCTTAAATAAGACATGAAATACCTTCTAGAAATAAGATTTAGCTAGACTTCTTTGTAGATTTCAGATGTGCTTTGCATGAAATTTGCCTCCCAAGAATGGAATTTTAAAATTGAAAGTAAAAATGCTGCTTTTGTAGAATTCTGGTAAGAACGTTTTCAATTCTGAGTATATCAGTATTTACTATTCTGTGTTTGGAAACTGATTTTGTTTCTTGCTTACTATAAAACTATATGTTGGAAGAGAATATTCCTGTTTTCCTGAAATTTCTGTTTGGCCAAGAACCCAGTTTCCTAGAAGACTATCTATGTCTTCCTTTCAAATCCAGACAAAAACTAACCTACCCACTGCCATCAAGTCTGGTGGCGTAGTGCCTAAAGCATTTGACTGCTAACCAGAAGGCTAGTGGTTCAAACCCACCAGCCACTCCTTGGAAGGAAGGTTGGGCACTACTTCCATAGTGATACTACCTCAGAAACCCAAGGAGAGGTCGCTATGAGTTGGATCCGACTCCATGGCAGTGGATTTTGGTTTCGTATAGGACAAAGTAGAACTGACCCCTAGTGTTTCCAAGGCTGTAAGTCTGTAGGAAGCAGACTGCTTCATCTTTCTCTCGTGAATCAGCTGGTGAGTTCAAACCACCAGCCTTTTCATTAGCAGCTTAATGTCTTAGCCACTGTACCACTAGAGTGCCTTAAATTCAGGCAAAGGACACTATAAAGGTCATTCGATTTACTAAATATTTTGATCCTCAAGCTTCTTGGAGGCTACAGGAGCAAAAAATTCATCCTGTGTTGTTAGCTAAGTCGGCCCTGAAGAATTATTGATGAGCACTGTTATTTGTTCAGAGATACAGAAGACCTATCTGTAAAAATGAGTGAGCAGTTTAATACAATAAATCCAAACAACAAATCCATTGCCCTCCAGTCTGTTCCTGTTCACAGCAACCCTGCAGGACGGAGTAAAACTGTGCTACAGGGCTTCTCAGGCTCTAATCTTTATGGAAGCAGACTGCCAGCCACATCTTTGTCCTGTGGAACGGCTGGTGGGTTCAAGCACTGACTTTTCAGGGCTCTAACCACTGCACCAGCAGGGAACCTTATCTTAGATAATACTTGTCTACAGTTCTGAAATTTTAAAAACACTCAACGGCCTAATTTCTTCTCTTTCTTTTCCTTTCTGCCCCTAAAACCTGACTTGAATTGAGATGAAGCTATTTATAGTTTTTATTTATATTTTTAAGAGGAGCTCTGGTAGCATAGTGCCTAAGGCACTTGACTGCTAACCTGAAGTCTGGAGGTTCAAACCCACCAGCCACTCCTCGGAAGGAAGGCTGGGCAATCTACTTCCGTAGTGATTCTGCCTCGGAAACCCAAGGAGGGGTCGCTATGAGTCAGGTCTGACTCAACAGCACATAACAACAGCAACAACAGTATGGGATCAAATTGACAACAGGAACTCAAAAGGTTAGATAGGAAATTTAGGGAAGAGTGAATTTTATGTTAACGGGGGAGGGACAGTCAACTCAGAAAAAGAATGAGAAAGTTTGCACAACTCAAAGAATGTAATCAATGTCACTGAGTTGCACATGTAGAAATTGTCAAAGTGTTATGTGTTCTGCTGTTCATGTTCTCAAATAACAACAGAGATAAATTATTTTTTAAAAAGTGAATATTTATACATTACACTGCAGATATATTAAAGTGTCTGCTTACAGAGTGCTACCCAGAACTCATTGAGGGTATTATATAACATATAATATTTGTAACAGAGCATCTTTTAAAATCTAAAATTCTGGGTTACATTGTTACATTATATATCATATCCTCAAGGTTTCAAAAAGAGATTGAGACCCTGTATGTGTTTTAGTCAAACAAGATCTCTACTAAGGATTTTATTAAAGAGCCTTGGTGTCTTTTTTTAAAAAAAAAACAATGTTTGGCTTTTAAAATTCTCTATTTGTTTGAATTTCATTGATTTCTAATTTTATTTCCTTTCTTCTATTTTGGATCTAGTTTGTTCAACTTGTCCTAGTTTCTTAGGATAGAAAATCAGATCATTGACTTTAAACCTCTTTCTTTCTAATAATGGCACGTAAAGGTACAACTTTCCCTTTTTTTTATCAGTTACTAAGAGAGGAGTATTAAAAATCCTTAAAAATTTTTGTTAGTCTATTTCTCCTCTTGGTTCTGTCAGTTTTTTGCTTTATGTATTTTGAAGTTCTATTATTAGGTGCTTAAACAGATTGTGCAGTGCCTAAGGCATTTGACTGCTAACCAGAAGGTTGATAGTTCAAACCCACCAGCCACTCCATGGAAGGAAAACTGGGGTAATCTACTTCTGTAAAGATTTACCACCTTGGAAAGCCAGTGTGGGTTGCTATGAGTCGCAGTAGGTTTCGGTTTTTTTTTAAACACATTGTTATATCTTCCCTGGTAATTGACCCTTTTATCTTACTGAAGTATCCCTCGTTACCTCTAGTAATACTGTTTGTCTTAAAATACAGTTTGTCTAATATTTGTAGATCAATTTTTTGTTATGTTTACTGTTTTTATGGTAATGTTTCTCCATTTTTTTTTCAGTCTTTCTGTTTATTAAAGTACACTTCTTGTAGACATTATAATATTGTTATTTTATCCAGTCTTTGACTTTCAATTAGAATACTTTGTCCATTCATTTTTTATTATAATTATTGATACAGATTTAGGTCTCCCATTTTGTAATTTGTTTTCTATGTGTCCTAATTATTTTTGATTTCTGTTCCTCCTTTCTAGTCATCTTTTGGATTAATTAAATATTTGGGGGGATTCCATTTGAATGACTTTGTTGGCATTTCAGCAACACATCTGCATTACTCTGTGATTGCTTTAGGGATTACAGGATGCATCTTCAATTACAACATTGTATTTAGAGTTACTATTGTAGCACTTAAGAAAACATATCACAATCTGGAAACAGGACAGTTCCATATACCTATACCCATCTTCTGACATGTATCTCCATAAATTATGACTAAATATAGTTGTGGTTGTTAAGGTTGTATGTCAACTTGGCTGGGCCTGGTTGAGTGGCTGGGCAGCTGGGTGTAGTGATATTCCCCATGATGAGACTGGTCATCAACTCCATGGTGGGATCTGCTGTGGGCAGATGAGCAGCTGCCTTAGGAATATTGTCTGCTTCTACTGTAGACAAAGACACTTTGAGAAAGGTCTTGAGCTTCTTGGCACATTTGGATCCTGCATTTAGCCAGTTCTTCATTCAGCAGCCTGCCACATTGCTTGTTGATCTTGTGGGTGTTTCTGAGCTTGAACTAGTGTCCTGCCATTTGCCTGATAATCTTGGGACTGTGATATTTTACTGGTTGACCTTGGGTTTGTCAGCCTCAGCAGCCAGTAGCTGCCTAAGTTAAGAGATACCTCCAGTTCCAGTGGGCCGGGAGCAAGAGGCAGAGCTGAAGCCTCAGGTTGAGGGGCCTTCACCCAGCCCCTAGAGCTAGCACTTTGAACTCGAACTTCTAGCCTCCTAAACTGTAAGAGAATAAATTCCTGTTTGTTCAAGCCATCCATTTGTGGTATGCTGGTTATAGCAGCACTAGATAACCAAAACAGTGGTCTTAAAATTTTTGCTTTAAATCATATGTCTTTGAAAGAAAGAGAAGAAAAAGTATATGTGGCAACCACTGATCTTTTCACTGTCTCTATAGTTTAGCCTTTTCCAGAATGTCAGGTAGTTAGTGTCATGCAGTATGTGGCTATTTTGGACTGCTGAGGCTTATTTTTAAGTTTTCTTGGGGGATTCAGGTAGAGTGGCCTTATTGCTAAGGCATAGAACTTCTAAACTATCCCTTGAGTGCCCAGAAAGTCTCTGTCCTCTTCCTTATCAGCACTCTGTCTTCCACTCCTGTTGACTGCTGCTGGGGTTTCCAGATCTTGTGACATCTCTCCCTGTGTGTGTACAGCTTATCATTCAGCCAATGACTTAACAAGAGGCCTGCAGAATTCTGGTGCTCCTCTGCACATCTCCCACCTCCCCAGTAACCCTTCCTCACAAACTCCAGCCACGTGAGCAACGCTGAACTTCAATCTCTGCCTCCTTATCTCAGTGAGACACCTGAGCCCTGCTTGAACTCGAGCTTCCACACCGCGGTCTGAAGTAGCCTCCCAGGCAGAAAGCCAGGGCAGTCATGGAGTTCATGTTGTATTATGTCCCCCTCTGTGAAGACTTAAAGTCCTGAGCTGCTTGTTGGCTTAATGTCTGGAAACAGTTGCATCATATAATTTATCCAATATTATAATTATTTCAGTTGGGAAGGCTTGTCTGCTGCTAATTATTCCATCATAGCTAGAAGTGAAAGTTTTTCCTTCTGACTTTAAAAGCAAACTGAATGTAAAATACCTGTTCATTCCTGTGTCTGCTTCTGAGTCTGAGGTTACTTTTTAAATTGCAAAATGAAGGGTCAGCTTATTTTGTTTTCCTTCTTCCCATTGTTTGATTTCTTTCTTTTTTTAAATGTGGGTCTTGCATTGTCGTCATCTTGGCCAGATGAAGTCACTCAGATGAACATGGCACTTGGATTTCATGGAGCTCACATTCTAATAATAAAAATAAAATACACATCATGCCATGGATAATAGGTATTATAATAACAGAAGTATGTAAATGTTTTTATTTGTAGCACAGAGGAGGTGGAGACTGTTTTTTAGAAGGGAAGTCAGGTAGATTTGAAAAAAGCTTACAAATTTTCGGTGATAAAATCCTGAAACTGGCCATGCCAGCAGAAGACCATAAATTTGAAGGGAATGTTCAGAATGTGTGAATGTCCTCTTCGTGCAAGGGAGAGTCAAAAATCTGCAAGTTATCCAAAGGGAATTGTGTTTTCCAGGTAATAGTAACATCCTTTATGCCCAGCTCAGAGATGTTTTAGGTTTGAGATCCTTGCAGAGAGTTCTTAAATGATAATAGAAAGCAGTCCCTTCTTTGCCATAACCTACACAGATTCTACAAAGTCTTGAGTCAGACTACCTGACTACCTAGGCTAGCTGTATGACCTTGGGAAAGTTATTTAATTTCTCTGATCTCCCCAGTGGAGTAAGTGGAGGATGATAATACCTTCTTCCATAGTGTTTTTATTTGTTTTAAATGAGTTGCTAAACATACTTGGAGTCATACCTGATGTACATATAGTAAGCCCCCATCATTAATTATTAGAATAATCAGATGCTACAAGGCTGTGGATCAGTAATTGAGGTGAGCCTTTAGTAAGTTTTGGATTAGAACCAAAGACTACTGAGTTGCTTTCTTTTTAAGCACCTGGAAATCCATGTTCTTAGGCATCAGACCCACAAGCAACTTACTCTAAAAAGGAAGTCAGTAAGATTCTAGACAGCTTTTTGTGTTCTGTGATTGTACAGATGCCATAAATGATTAGTTAAACCAAACAAGTCAATTCTCATGGATTTTGGGAAGTTTTAGTAATAATGAGTTACAATTAATACAGTAAAACCCCAGAAATTCGGTATTTCTCAAATCCTGTCCTAGACGAACTTTCACCTTCATCTCACCCTGCACCTAAGGTCCCTTTGTTCTTGCGGGCAATACTTGCAGAAGAGTAAAGCTTTGTTACTGGTTTGGGCTTTGGGCCCAAATTCTTTCCATCTTGGCGTTGTGGCATACAGTTCAAGCCTCATCAATCCCTAGTGGGGTAGGAGCAGTGGCCAGTATTGGAAATCATCCCCTGGAGGTGTAAGCAAGCCTTTTCTGATAGCTTTGTTTTTCTTTTTCTCCAAGAGGGACTGCAGTATTCCTGGAAGGGGTTGTGGGGAGGATCAAGGACCTGCCTTTTTTGCCCTTCGATTTAGCAAAAGAACTGACAAAAAGTCAGATAATATTGGCCTCTGTAGAAATGGTGCAAACTGTCAATGCACTCAGCTGCTAACCAAAAGGTTGGAGGTTTGAATCCACCCAAAGCAACCTCAGAAGAAAGGCCTGACCGTGCTGTGGAGCAGTCTTCCTCTGACACAGCCGGGCTGCCGTGACTCAAAATCGGCTCCACAGCAGCTGGTTTGATAGGAGGTGAAGCTCGGGGTCTGTGGGCCCTTTCCCCTTCTGGTCTTGACTATACCTCTCCCTCCTAGTGTCCTGCAAGAGGATTCCTGCTGCACGTTAGGCAGAGTCTAGGACTTTGTCTTAGGTTGTAGTCCTAGGAGTAGAACTTTCAAAGAGGTTAAAAAGCCATAGCACTCTGGGAGAGCAGTGTGACTTTTCCTTAGGTACTTCTTCTCTCCTATGACTTTGGAAGGCTTCACTTAAGAGAACTATTCCTGCCTAAGAAAGGTATTGGGTAGGGAATTGCAACACTCCTGCACTCTCTTGTAAGCTCTTTCTGCTTTTGCTAATGAGTATAGTGTTTCCTTTTGTCTGAGTGGCAAGATCAAGCCTTGGGGGTTTTACCTTCAGGTGGAATAGGCAGAACAGGGGCTGTTTGGCTGCCTTGATTCCAGAACATACTAGCTGGTCAAATATAGAAGTAAGATAAGCACCACTCTAGCTCATTGGCATTTCCATTGGGTTTGAGGGAAAAGGATCAGTAGTTTCCTTTATTTTTTCTGTATACATGGCTTAAGGCCTCTGAAGGGGATCACCTAGTCAAATCTATTAACTTCCTATGTCAGGATTCCCAGTAGACAATGTGGGCCATGGTATGTTTGCTATCAAGGAGAATACCAACATGACAGTGGGATTCAAAGACAAGTACCTAAGTTCTTTACAATTATGATATTAAAATTCCTAAAACAGCAGGAATTTCTTGTAACCCTGAAACCCATTTCTTAGAAAAAACACTTTTATAAAAGGTGTAGATCTCAGACTAAGACATATAATCTTATATAACCCTCCAAAGTAGCTATATTATTATAATAATAGTACTATTTTAATTATGTCAAATCCCTTTTTATAGCACAGGTTTATTTTGGTGAGAAAATTCATGTTGGGCTCTCCAACTTATGATGTCTGGAACATACCACTCCTGGGGGTGTAGGATGTGGGGTGGGTTAGAAGTTAAGTCTACAGGAGGTGACTGGTAGTTATGATTAGTGGTACCTAGGCATAAGACCCCCTTTTCTGCCTGTCCTTCTGCACCTTACCCTGGACATCCTAGTCCTCACTGCCCCCTCCCCCCCGGACATGCATCTGAGTAACATGCACACATCCTTTTATTAGTGCCTCTGACCTACTTGATAGAAATTTTTGAGTTGCTTAGAATTTGGAAGTTTCTTGCTCACAGTTCACAAACTGGCGGGGGGAGTTGTGGGCAATTTCTGTTCTCACTATACTAAGTAAGGTGTTTCTTGCTTCCAAAATAAAAACCGTGAGTTAATTTCCCCCCTGTAAACAGTGATTCACATACAATGATTTATTTCTTTTATGCTCTCTAGGCACATTATAAATTGAATAGTTGATTGAAAGCCGATCTGGTAACCCACATTGTTTTTAAAATCATATTAAGTTAGCTGCATTGCAAAATTAGCCTAAAACAATCACTTTACCTTGAGTTCATTTATATTTGGATCATATACTTGTTGAAATCTTATAATTTCTAAATGCATTTTTGAAAGAACACCGAGAATTTAACTCTGAGATACTAGTACATGTCTGTTAATGTTCCCAAATAACCAGGTTGTTCCGTGTAAGGAGACAATAATCTTTCAGAAAGTGAAGCCTCATGTTTGGAGGAGAGACCCTTATGGGATACATCTTTTGTTTAATTCTTTAAGCATTCTGCTTCTCTTGGAACCAAGGAAATTGTTCCAAGCCAATTTCTTGTGTCTTCTGTTTTACTAAGTTATTTATTGGGAGAAACACTGGAGAGACACTGTTTGGTGCTTTTAACCATTGTTAAATGTTAAACAGTTTGAAGATTTTCAACATGAAAAGTGTGAAAAATCAAACTCTTAATAAAGTCTGAAAACTCAGACTCTTAGTACTAAGCACAGAGCTTGACATGACCTGGCATCCAATAAATGAGATTGAAGATAGGAATGAAGAAACAACTATGATCCTTATCATGCGATACCTAAAAATAGTGTAATATGGTAGATATATAACAGTATTTGAGGCAGGCCAAACATACCTTAATACTTACGGACCTTGATCTGGGTTGCAATGACATTTTTTAAAGTTTTGGACAAGATCACAAGATGGATTTGTTGATAGCATAAATCATCACCATCTCCAGGAATGTGCCAAGTCTTTGTTCCATGTGTGTCAATGTTAGCCAAATGGAATCTCCTCCTGTCTGTGGGATTTCTTTCATTTTAAACTTGTTTATCTTTGGATAACATGAAGACTTGTATTTTTGTACCCCAAAGCAGTATTTTCCAAAGCAATACTCAGCAGAAAAATCAACCTTTCGAATACTTTAAATGGAGAATAGGTCAAGAATACTTAATGGAAACAATTGGAAACAACCACAGCATGAGAGCAGAACCTCTAGCATGGATTTGCTGTACTCACCACTGTGCATTTTAAATTATAGGGAAGGCTGAAAATTCCATTGGAGACTCCAACCTACAGTGGGCAGCCATGGCATTGCCAGCATTCTTTTCTCTTGTAATTGGGTTTGCATTTGGAGCCTTCTACTGGAAGGTAAGTGTTGCTATTCTTTTTTTTTTTTTTTCTTTCCCTTAATTGAAAGTCTTCTGAACTTTATTTATTTGTTTGTACAATATTTGCATAAGTTATTAGCAAACAAATCTCCTTTTTCTGAGAAAGGATCCTACTGAGAAACATGGAATCCTACCTTAATTTGTAGCTTCAACAACGTTTAAATCTCAGATTGATTTCTCTTTTCATTCTTCAAGTTCTGGGGCCAACACCTCTAGCTGAGAATGTAAGCTTGAACAATGATGGGAACTGGTTTCAGTAGCCTGAACTAAATATGAAAAGGAAGGAAATATGCTGAACATCATATCACGTGCTTAAAAGTCAAGAAGAAATGCCATTGTGTTATCTGTTATTCTGGATTTCACATCTTTTGTCCTCTTCTCATTGAAGCCTGTTGAAAATTTTTCAATGTGCTGAATCATCATGACTCAGACTTTTGAAAGGTCTTTTAAGTTTGAATAATTCAAATCTGACAGTTTTTTTTTATTATTACTTTTCCACCTCCAGCATCCTAAAAATGTTGAGTCAGTAATTCCATGCACTTTTCATAATTTTTATTGAAAAATATTTTACATGCTGGATGCTGAAAAAAAATCATTGGAATTATTAACATTATAAAAATCAAAAGGTGAGGCCATTTACCGCTTAAATATTTTTATATGTTTGTTATTATTCTTTTCCCAGAAGAAACAATCAAATCTTACAAGGGCAGTTGAAGACATACAGATCAATGAAGAGGATAATGAAATAAGGTATTTCGCTTGTTCGGTGTGTGCATAAGTAAGATTGACATTGTCATTTCACATACTGTACACATGCACATAACATCTGTAAGACATTGTTCACTCTCCTAATGGCAGCTCTCAACCAGTGTTTCCCAAGTGTCATCCGTGTTTCTGAGCTCTCACTCTCTCCTCAGTCCTACGTCTACCTGTGGGACACCTTTGCATATTCATTTTCATGATCCCTCTTAGGGTATCTGCTTTCTTTATTTCAGTCAGCAGCAGCCTTGCTCAGACTCCTGGTCATGGAGCTCTGATGGTTAGGCCCTTTACCACAACATTACCAAAGACATACTGATTACTTTTTTTAGACTCTCTGCCCAACCTTTGGACTTTTTTTGGCAGTAGTCATTATCTTCATCCAACCTTTGTTACATTCTTCCTTAAACCATGGTTCGTAATGACACTTCCTATTTAGGATACTGGCAGTGATTTTTCTCCTGCTTATTTAATATACTTTACTTCATTCTGGCTTTCAGAGCCACTAATTTTTTTTTTCAATATGTTTGGTATTTTCAGCAAAAACAGAGAAAAAATATTTTTAGCATATTATTGTTGTTGTTATGTGCCGTTGAGTCAGACCCAACTCATAGTGACCCCTCTTTGGGTTTCTGAGGTGGTATCACTATGGAGGGAGCTCTGGTAGCATAGTGGCTAAGACACTTGCCTGCTAACCAGACGGCTGGCGGTTCAAACCCACCAGCCACTCCTTGGAAGGAAGGTTGGGCAATCCTACTTCCGTAGTGATACTGCCTGGGAAACCCAAGGAGGGGTCGCTATGAGTCGGGGCCGACTCGATGGCACATAACAACAACAACAACATCACTATGGAAGTAGATTGCCCAGCCTTCCTTCCTAGGAGTGGCTGGTGGGTTTGAACCACCAGCCTTCTGGTTAGCAGTCAAGTGCCTTAGGCACTATGTCACCAGAGCTCCTATTATTATTATTTTTTTTTTTTAGCATACTCTTCCATTTCCTGTAGCTGGCCCTGATTACTCTTCTACCTTATTCTTTATTGCCCTTGGACCAATATTTTCATTTACTTTCAGTTATAAGTTTTAACTGGCATGTTACTTTCTCTCATATCATGCCTATGTACATACATACACACATATTAAGTACATGGAAGCATTTTTAATATGAATATGTGCATAGGCAGAAAAGTTTTTAAAGTACTTGGAAAGGCTGTGTTGAGAGAGATGCAGTCTTTCCCGGAGTGTGATTTATGAAGGTAAGCTTCCCACTGTGTTTTGCAATCTTTTGCTACTGGATTTACAGAAAACCCTGCCTCTTCCAATACCCAGATCATGGTGTACTTCAGAATCTCACCCAAAAGCAAATAAGCGTTTTTCTTGTTGTTTTTCAGTATGTTGCAAGAAAAAGAAAGAGAGTTTCAAGAAGTGTAATTGTGGCTTGTATCAACACTGTTGCTTTCGTACATTGGTAAGTTTATAGAATTGAAGCTGAGATATTTAACAAGAACTATACAGCATCCTGGATGCCAAAATTTAGTAACAAAGTATATTAGTAAGTCTTCTATCAAGCAGATGTCACTCTGTTCACTAAAGCTGTTACATAATTGAATTGTGCGTACCTAAGTCATTGTATGTATCTCAAGTTTTGAACATTAAGCAGTGATAGTCCTGATTAATGGATTCATCCTCTATGGAAGATATACCAAAACAGAACAGTCCAGTGTTTCTTTAGAACAGTTGTGAAACCAATCAATCAGACAAGAGAGTAAGCAAACTAGAATTAAAATAATACCGTAGAGGAATAATGAATAAAATCAATTTCATTTGGGTGTTAACACCGTAAGATAATAGAAGCAGTATCCAATTTTTAGATGTTAAAACAAAAGGACAAACAAAGATACTTTCCCTGCCATTTTAAGGGAAGGGAGAAAAGGTTGAAAATATCTTATAGTTAGGAGGGTAAATCTGTTAGGGTAAAGTGTCACCTGCCACATCACAGGTGTGACACTTGTGTCTAGGAACAGTCCAGAGCCTGGGATGTACTGAATATAAAGCAATGGCAGATGCCTGTGGTGATTGTGTGGGGCCTGTGGAGGGAGGGTTTATTGGAGAATGGAGAGAAAGATGTGGCCAGAAGGGACTGATGTTGTGTCTCCTCTCCTGTGTGTCTGCATTCTCTTGACCTAAGCTGCAGCTACTGTTGGAGGAATGCCCAACCTGGCACTGACCTGACCCAATTACCGATTCACACTGCCCTCACTTTCAATTCTGCATACTGGCTGGTAATTAGGTTACTACTCCTAGAATCCCCAACACATTTAAACACACAAAAAAACACATAAACCAAACTCACTGCTGTCGACTCATAGCGACCCCTCCTTAGGTTTCCAATACAATATCACTACAGAAATAGGTTGCCCAATCTTCCTTCCGAGGAGTGGCTGGTGGGGTGAACCACCACCCTTCTGGTTAGCAGTCAAATGCCTTAGGCACTACGCCGCCAGAGCTCCTACATTTAACCACAGTGGCATACAAATCTTCTCCCCTCTTCCTAATCCACAGTTCTTCCCTGCCCTCCCTCATGGACTGTCGTAGATAACTACAGATGCAGTTGGCTTGTGGTCAGCTCTGCCTTTTGCTTCCAGGTCACTACTTTTTGGCTTTCCTTCTGCCTCACATTCAGAGATTTATATCTAGAGCTGAACCTTCACAGAGAAGCTGTGTCTGAGAGTCTTTCTGTCTCTCCAGGGGCTCACTGTTACAGCTGTAGAACATCATTTTTGAATGATCAGAAATAACATGATATAATAATAATACAGCCTATTTCTCTAGCACTTTCTCCTGTAATTCCCTATTTCATCATTTTTATCATCTCTCCTGCCCTTGATCACCATGTCCAATGTATCAGTAGCATCCTCGCTTTTTTCTGCTCCCCATTCTAGCTTTACTCCTGGCACATTTTTCCTGTCAGTTAATGTGAATAAATAGACCCTCTGTGCTATCCATTTTTAATTTTTCTGAGTCAATATTCTCTAAGCGGAAATCATTATTTTCTCTAGAAACCCATTTCTCTGTTCTCCAGTCCCAATGCAGACCTCTCCATTTCTTCCCTAACTGCCATTTTGGTTCCCTTCAGCCAGAGTCCCACAAATCACACAATAAATAGTTAATTGAGTAGCAAAGGCTTGAGCAATGTCCTCTGCTGTTGGTTTTGACACTGCATTGCAGAGATCCTGATTTGGCAAGTGGGCCTTTAACCCTATGATTTTCAGTTGTGACGTTCATCCTGTGGCATTTGGAGAATGGATTATGATGGGAAAAGCCAGTCCACTTGTTTAAGAGGAAAAAATGTGACATCTTCAAGCAACCATGGACAGGCAACTGATGCCTATGTCTGCCAGTCAGATAACATTCAAGGGCAGCAAGTGGGTCTGTCTGTTCTTGCTGTATCTCCAGCACCTAACTTGATGCCTGAGCATTGTAGACTCTCAGTGTTTATAGTGAATGAGTGACTGAGTGAATGAATGAACTCTAAATGAGGGGACCTGCCTATTAGGGGACTGCAGGTGGGTCATAGAGTGCTATCCTCAGAGAGGAAGCAGAGGGAGCTACTGTGGATCCCATGTGATAAGGAAAAGTGTTCTTCTGAAACAGAGTTTGTTTTTATCATGTGTGTGTATGTGTGTGTATAATTTGCTTATTTTGCTCAATAAGACATAAGGTGTGCAAACACAGGAGAATAGAGTCACAAGGGATGGCTGCCTTTGATTTATTTTTCTTAATGTAGGAAACATTACTTAAGTAGAAGAAATATCAAATTGAACAGTCAGGTGAAAGAAGTCTAAAATTGTTCAGAAATGAACTTATCACTCACATAATTCCTGAGTGGTCGGTGTAGAATGAAATGAGAAGTGAATAACACTCCTTCGAGTGCCTTATTCCTAACTCTGTGTAGCTTTCTCAAAGCCCAGCTCGGATACCACTCCCTCCAAAAAGCTGACTCCGAATGAAAGTTATCTCTATTTAGGGCCTTCTAATTACACTTCACATGTCCCTTGGTAGGATTTTACAGTTACTTACCTAGACATTTTGTGTTCCATCCTAAACATAAACTTTTAGAAGGCAAGATTTATGTCTAATTTAACTTTAGAATCTCACCAAATTATGTAGCATATCATTTGCACATTGTGGTAGTTAAGTTTGTATGTCAGCTTGGCTAGGCCTGGTTGAGTGGCTGGGCAGCTGGGTGTAGTATTCCCCATGGTGAGACTGGTCATCAACTCCATGGTGGAATCTACTTTGAGCAGCTTAATAGCTGCCTTAGGGATGTGGTCTGCTTCCTGTATATGATGAGAAGCCTTGGGGAATGGTCTCTGGCCTACGGCATGTTTGGACCTTGCATGTAGCTGTGTCATTGCTCAGCAGGCTGCTGTGCTCTGCTGACCTTGGGACTTAAAATGGACTTAAATTAATGGCCTGCCGTGTAGTTTAGTAACATGGGGACTATGCCCTTTTACTTGTCAACCTTGGGCTTGTCAGCCTCAGCAGCCAACAGGTGTCTGAGTGAAGAAACACTTCTAGCTTCAGTGGGCTGGGAGCTGGAGGCAGAGCTGAAGCCCAAGGCTGAGGGGCTTTCACTCAGCCCCTAGAAGCCTGGCACTATGAACTCAGATTTCTAGCCTCCAAACTGTAAGAAAGTAAATTCCTGTTTGTTTAAGCCATCCCATTTGTGGTATATTCTTGTCAGAGTAGCACTAGGTAACCAGAACACACATAGTAAGTGATTAACAAATATTTGTTAAATACATGATTTAAGAGTCGAAAGAATGTCTCAGAATTATTTTTGTGAAAGTAATAAAAATTTGTGTATGTTATCAAGAAATAATTCACATACTAATCAGAAAAAGATAAAGAAAACAGCTAACTCATCAACATGAATCTATAAAATTCCAAGTGTAAATGCATATTTATCATTTGTAATCATGTATTGAGGACCCATTGTATGGCCTAAAGCCTTCTACTTGGCTCTGTACAAACAGAAGTTTAAAACTTGCTGAATAACTTTACGTTTGGGGAGAATGGCATGGTGGAGGGAAATTTCAGGGGAGCTGATTCTAACTTCTAATAGAAAGACAGAAAACTTTTCCAGAAATAAACATAACAGGTGTCAAAAGCACCAGTAGATGCTTTTGAAATGAAATGAAATGTGGAATTGTACTTCATGTTGAAAGAAATTAGATGTAATTTAGATTGTAGTCTTTTTCTTGGTTAACAGCAAGGGGGGATATAACACGGATAACTCAGGTTTAGGGCAAAGATTCACCCCTGAAATGGAAGTTCCACCAACTAAACAAATTAAATCAGCACAAATATTGAAACACTGGAATAGAAAACAAATGTGATAGTTAGTTCTCTGAAGGAAATAGCTTATAATTGGAAACTCAGAGAAGTAAAGTAGGGTTTGCTGTTTTAAATAGGAGGAAAGAATGTGGAAACAAAAGGAAAAGTTATCTCTTAAGAGAAAATATACTAAAGCTGTGTTTATTTGACGCAAAACAAGAAAACATTTGTTTGAAAAGTTAAAAATCTGCTTAGTCATTTAGCTGATGCCAGGTATCTATATGTGACATCCCACAAGAACTTTTCAGATGACTTATTATAATTTTCACTTATTTGTTTGTGTGTAACACTGTTTAAGAGAAATAAATGAGGTAAATTACATTAAAAGGTCCATTTATTTTAGTATAGTGTAGGGACACTTTGCTCCCCTTTCTTCCTTCGAATGTGATTCCAACAAACCTGAGTAGACGCACTGGGCAAAGCAAAGCTCAGTGTAACCTGGTTATGTCCTCAGGTTGCTTAAAGCCCACAAAAGGAAGTAAGGCATATACATAAATGACCAAATAAAAAAAGCAGACTATAAGTTTGCAAAGTTTAAAATGCAACAAAAGGAGCTTCAAAAAAATGAAAAAAGAGATCATAGATAGAGCCACTGCATATGGTTCTGCAGGGTATGCACTTAACACAATCTAGATACTGGTGTGATGACACCCCTTAGAATTGTGCAGTGCAAAACCATATACATTGGCCTTGTTTGAAGGGGAAGAGAAGTCACTAGCAACAGGAGAAAAGCTTTGTTGTGGAGCTAGCATTTGAACTGAGTTCGCACTGATTGATCAGATATTATGACCAATAGGCAAGGGATAATCCAGACACTGCAAGATGCGTAAACTGAGTCCTGGTGGCCTAAAAGTACAGTGTTCAAGGATCAGTTTGTACAGATGGACACAAGTGGAGTTCACACATAAAAGGTTAAAGTGCTAAAAAGAGAGAGTGGAGATCAGTTTCAAAAAAGATTTGGATGCCAGACACCAGGATTATATTCCATTGGGTAAATTATAAGGAGCCTTTGAATGTTTTTCAAAGGATATGAGTGGTACAGTTAAAACAGAAGAAAAGTCATTTGGTTTTGGTGGGACAAAATGAATTGGAGTGCTAAACTGCAGGCATGGAATCCATTTAGGAGGCCAGTCTTCCAGGCAGGTGTAAGAACTAAATCAAGACCATGGTAGTAGGAAAACATGGACCATTGTGGAGACATTGCAGACAAAGATTCAACCAGTCTTTATTAATTTCTGATGCAATGTGAGGATGTGAGGCTTGGCATCATGGACCATATTCAAGGAAGATTTGGAACCTATGGAAATAGCAAGATACTAATGCCATTAAAAGTGGCACCAGAAAAGTCAGGAGAAGAAGCTGTTGGTAAATATTGGTGGAACTGTTCAGTTCAGAGAGCTCTCTGTTCAGAAACCAGTCAGGGCTGGAAATAATAGACTTGGGAGTTATCTACAAAGAATCTAACTTGAAGCATTGGGAGAAAAACTGTTCAGTAACAGAGGAGGCACATTCCAGTTGATAGTACTAGCAGGTTGTGTAGACAGTCAGCGTTGTTTCATGACTTACTACTATAGCATGGTTAAGTATAGAAAATTATTCTCATTCCAATAAGGCTTGTGGAGAGATTCATAAAAGAAACACAAACTGGAAGTTCCCAAAAGACCTGAGCTAAGACTGAAGAGAATGGCTTTTAGAATTGGAATAAAGATGTGCTCCAATCAAGCTTGGGCAGTCCGTGTGTAGAGCCTGTTTGGTTACCAAATGAAAAGCTCTGTGAGTCTTTATCAAGTATTTCCTAAGAATTTCTGAAGCTTTAGTAGCTTTGTTTTTTACCTTCTTTCTGTAGACCAGCCACTCCTCAGAAGAAAGGTTGGGCAATCTACTTCTGTAGTGATACCACCTCGGAAACCCAAGGAGGAGTCGCTGTGAGTCAGATCTGACTCCACGGCAGTATTTGGTTTTTGGTTGGTTCTGTAGGCCCATTGTGATGGAGAGGGTTACAAGAGATTAGATGAGTTCAAGCCTGGGCTCTGTGATTTAACTAGCAGTAGGTCCGACTCAAGGACACATAACAATAACAACAACAACAACAGCTTATTGGATGAGTTTGTAGATTTTAACTCCTGATTTTCATTTATAATGAATGGCTCTTAGTACTTGTCCTACTTATGTCATGAGTTTGGTCTGAAAATTCAGATTATCATTATAAAAATTATAGTTTTATTTTATGGGAAAAGAGTTGTTGTCAGCCTTTGAGTTTATTTTCTTTGCTAAGTGACCCAGGAACTAACTCACAAATAAATTGCCAATCATTATTTCTCTACCTTGGATTAAAGTTAGAAGTTCAAATTATTCTATAACTTATTAGAAAAAATAATAATAATTTTGCTTTTTGTAATTACCACTTACTTTTCTAACCAAGCTTTATTTCTTATAATATCTTTTTATATTTTGTATTTCTGAAGTTTTCTCTTAATGTCTCTTAATTTTTCTGTCTAAATTATATTCTACTTTTCTAAATATAGACTCTTGAGTTCCTAAAGTTCTCCATTTGATAAATAGTCATGTGGTATAATTTTTAGGATATAATATTTAGAGAGACTGGAAAATAAAACACTGCCATTACTCATACTATGGAATTCCATACATAACCTGTGTAATGATCTGGAATGTTTTAAAACCAGTTGTCTGTGATTCTGGGATTGATAAACAAGGATAAGGTATGGGAAGAGTCAATGAAAAGAGAAGAAATGCAAAGTATGCATGTATTTGAGTACAATGAAGACAGTATCTTTAATGAAAAGTTGATGAGAAGTACATGTGCTTTACTTAAGAGTTGAAAATCTGAAAGCCAAGTCCAGAGCTCAGTGATTTAACACCATCTCTCAAGAACTGAACCAAAGTATGTCTTTCATGCTTCAACAAGTACAATAAGTTGTGCTGAGGCCAAATGAACCTCCCTAGAGGCTTTGTCAGGATGTGGTGCCAGGATTTCAGCCTTTTTTTTGGCTGGCAACATCTTTCTGCTACTATTTCCTCAGTTGGGAGAAGTGATTTCTTAAACCCTGCTAGACAGTCAAGATTTAGAGCTGCTCAGTGACCATACAGCTATTTTTCTTGGTGAACTCTGACTAGCTTCTCCACCTGTCCCAATATCTCTTTCCTGCCACTTCATCCATCTCCACTTCTACTCTCTGGTCAGTCACTGCCTTAGTTCTTCTCTCTGTCTCTTCACTGTTTATCCATTACTCCCTTTTTTGGAGCCTTGCTGGAGAAATTGAAAAGGTTATTAACTCTCTTATCATCCATCACAAATTGAGATAATAGGTGCAATGCCTTCAGGTATAAAAACCACAGGTTTTTATTCCTCCATCCTTGCATTCAACAGGTATTAACTGAATGTCTATTCATGGGCCAGGGGCTGATCTAAGTGTTGCAGGTACAGCAAGAAACAAATAGACAAAGCTCTCTGCCCTCATCGAGCTTACATTCCAGTGGGAAGAAACGGACAATGATAAATAATGTGATTATTTCAGATGTTGTTAAATGTTTTAAAAGCAAAAAATAAGGGTATATTAAAGAGCAATAAATACATCACTGCATGTAGAACAAATTATTTTAGAGTGTAAGTAAAGCATATATTGCAGGTCTATTCACTGTATGTTGTTGTTATGTGCAGTCGAGTCGGCCCCGACTCGTAGTGACCCCTCCTTGGGTTTCCGAGGCAGTATCACTATGAAAGTGGGATTGCCCAACCTTCCTTCCGAGGAGTGGCTGGTGGGTTTGAACCGCCAGCCTTCTGGTTAGCAGTCAAGTGCTTTAGCCACTATGCTATAGTCTCATATTAATCAGCAACTGAAAATGTGAAGGGAGAGAACAGACATGCCATAATAGTTCTTTTCTTCTTTCTTTCTAGGCGGGTAACAGTTCATGTTTGCTTCATAAATGAAGCAGCTTAAAACAAATTCATATTCTGTCTGGAGTGACAGACCGCATCTTTATCTGTTCTTGCTACCCATGACTCTATAAGGATGATTCAGAAATTGGAACAAAGTGTTTTACTGTGAAACTGGCACTGAATTAATCATCTGTAAAGAAGAACTTGCATGGAGCAGGACTCTATTTTAAGGACCTGGAGGATTTGTGGTCTCATTAAGGACTTAAGACTGGTGTTGGGAAAGAAAGCACGTGTCTCAGACAGTACACACCATTTGCATGCCTCCAGAAATGTCTAATTGCTGAAAAAAACACAGAGCTTTATTTCTCAGCTATAACCTGCATCCGTAGTTATCCTGGTCTCTGCAAGTAGATGGTCAGCCTGGATAATGGGGGTAACAATTTTTGTCTCAAAGGGATCTAGAAAAAGATTTAAAAAAACAAAAACTCAGTTGAATCAGCCACTGTATAATACAGAAAGCAATGGGAACTAAGTGATAGGAGTAGGCAACAGGTCAGCCTTGTAGCTGCTGATTAACGATAGAGGTCTGATTATGATCTCTTCCTGACATAAACCATGCTCAACCATATCTCGCTAGACAAATGGACACAGCTGGTTCTAGCCATATAGGGGAGCCGGCAGTGAACTAGAGCAGTGATGCCTTTGCAGAATGGAGACTCTCTGAAGGGTTAAACCGTGAAGAAGCTAGGAAGACTGAACAGCAGAAGAGTGCCGTAGGGGACACCTGGCACCCCTGGTGAAGTCTCCCTTTTCCCTTGACCACTATAGAGTGTATAAATTGTGTTTGCAAAATACATTACACAATGTTTGTATTCTAAAACTATTACGGAGTTGTGTGAGGGGATTTAGGAGAAAATGCCAAATGTATGAAGGTCCCATTTTACATTTCCACCATGGGACAGAGTAAAAATAAATTATGATATTTTATATGTAAGGTTAAAAATCACACCCAGATGCTTTATATGGGTGTTGAAAACTAAGTTACTTGGCTTTTAAAGAACATAAGGAATCTGGAAACTTTAGTTATTTATAGTATAATCACCATTATCTGTTTAAGGGATCCATTTATTTAAAATCTGGCACTCTATATTCATTAAGATTTAAGAATTAAAAGATAAAAAGAGAGCTTTATGTAGTTGTGCATGTCAGTTTGTTATTTAAAATGTGTGGCAGCGTTTTGCTTATTAAGAGTGAATTTGGCAGGAATTCTCAAGATGGACACTGTGTTTTTAAACTAGAACTCATCAGCGATTGTGTGAATTGCCCTAACCATTTATATATAGTCAAAGAAACTTCTGAATAAAGTTCAAGAACATTTTCTTTTAGTTTATTTTGTTGAAGGTCCTTTAAACATACATGAGCATATATATAAAGGAATCCAGTCTAATTTGATCTTTTGGCAACATTATTTCTATGTAATAGGGCCATAATCTGACCATTTTCAATGTAGTGATACAAAAGGTATAAAAACTGCTAGCTTTCCTTTAATTTCAAAAGTCCAAATATTTCTGATATTGTTGGATTTTAGCATATGTTCAAAGCTAATTGGTAAGTGGCCTTTGTGCTTTTTTGTACCAAAGAGCACATATGTCCCTTCCTTCTCTAAAGTGTTAAAGTTCCTCAAAGAATAATCATTTCTGTAAAATACAACCCAGATGCTTTGGGAAGCTGCATTAACTTTTGAGGCCCTTGGATACCCTTGGCACAAACAATTGCTAGTAAAGCCAGACATCACTTTAATAACTTAAAAGGACCTGTTTGATTGTGTGACATTGATAGTTTCAAGGAAAACAGGCATAAGTTAATATGAGCTCTGTGTGTAGGTCATGGCTACCTGGATTGATACTTCTCAGTCAAATGGTTTGACTTATTTAACCAGTGGTTTCTATTTTCTTGAGCATATGGAAATGCTGTTTCGTAAGCTTGAGAATACAAAAAAATATATTTGTGTTCTCAAAGCTACTCACTGGATTTTAGCACCCAAGGACATGGTCCTAATCAATAGAGTTAAATAAACAAAATTCTGCAAATACAGAATCTGGCATGGTAGGGGAGGGGATGTGTGCTCTGCTTAATTAAATGTATTGAGAGTAACATGGGTTACCAATTTTTGGAACATAAAATTCTGTAAAATGCATAAGGAATAGAAAAAGTGCTGGGCATTATTTTGGAAGCTCGCTGCTTGGGCATCAGCTGTGTCATACCTGCTTTGGTATATATATATATATATATATAACTTTGCTTATTTTATCCCATGTATGTTCTGAATATCCTCCTTCATGAATCATGGGATACTCGCAAACCATGAAGTTACCTTTCAAATTGGGGCCATGTATCTGATAGTCCTCTCTTGGAATGTTTCAAAATTGCCTTTTAAAATGATCTCAGAAGCCCTGCAGATTCTAACTTATATGGAAAGCTTTGTACCTCTTTGGTAGAACCCATGTCTTTAAAGAAACTGGTTCCATGATAAACGGTGCCTGCCCAGCATTATGGAAGTGTTCCTGGGTATTGTATGATAATCTAGTACACTTTCCACACTGCCATTTTTTAATGAGTCAGAGTCAAATTGATTTTTTCAATACTGTAATAGAACAAGTAACTATCCTGTTAAAATGAAAAAGTTTATGTCCATAATGAAGTGTTTGCTTTTAGTAAGAAACAGATTTCATTGAGCATTTAAGTACTTTGGAGAGACTTTGCGGCACATTTTAGACCTCTAATTCAGTTGAAGTTGTAAATGAACAGAGAAATCCACTTGAATCATGGATTTTTCTTAATGTTCTTCTGCAGTTAAGTTCTGGCTTTTAAATTTAATTCTAATATGTGACTTCCAGCCATTCCTTATCTATTCTTCTTTAAGAAATACATTTTTCAGGAAAGCAATTTGATAAAGTTGGGAAGAATTGTCAGGAGCCTCCACTCTGCCATTAAATTAAGTTATCTCTCTTCCTCTATCTCACTTTTTTTTTTTTTTTTAAATCTGTATGGTGAACCCTGAGGTCACTTCTAGATCCAAAACCTATTCCTCTGTGGCTAAAAGTAGTTGAAAGAGACTTGGAACTATCCCATACAAAATACTCAGCTCTTGTATCTGTGAATAAGCATCTTGACCATAAAAAGTCATTGCTGTTCTTGTTTCTAATGTAAATAGGGTCCATTAGTAAAAGTGAAATTCAGCTTCAAGTAGTGTGAATTGTGAATTGGATAACCATTTATACAAGAGATGGCTTTTGCCTTTGCTTAAATAAATGTTTTGGATCACCTCTGAAGAATGAAAACAAGTAGAACATTTTAGTCAGGAAGAGATACTATAAGATGTGTGTAATATTTGGAAATACACCAAATTAAACATTTCAATGCATTCATTTTATTAAAAGCTAAGAGCAGAAAAATGCTTATAAAGTTTTTGAATGTCAAAGGTATTTTGGAATCAATTTGGAAAGGAGTCATCTGTAAATTATATTTTAAATTTGGAAAATGGAATGAGAATTTTAAAGTAAACCAGCTTGTCTTTGAAACAATGTGATTTTGAAATTGGCTTTAAAATATAAACATTCAGATTGAAATTCTAACAGATTCACCTGTGATATTTGGTCACATAATACATAATGTTGCTGCTTTCCATTACATCTTAAAATGCCTTTCTTTGTAAAGATAAAATAATGGTACATTTATGGAATTAATATGATGATTCAGAAATAATCCATAGTAAAGTGGATATTCATGATCATAAAATATTTGCTAAGCATTGTAAACTTATAACTGCCATCTCTAACTATATCCTTATGATATTGTTTTAAAAAATAAATTTAAAATAATTGTTTAAACCAAAAACCACGGCATTTTCAGTTATTTGATTTGTGAGCTAGAAGACTCACTAAATACAATTTTTCAATCAAAATATCATCTTCTTCTACATTCTGAGGAGTATGTGTGAGGATATTGTCCACTTGCCACTATTGTTTAAAATCAACGGAATTGAAAAGTATTCAGACATTTAGATGGATGCACAGATATATTGCTAGTTCAGTCATAGATTGGAGTTTGCATATTGTAATGTAAATGTACGTCGACACTATTCTAAATAGTTTTATTATGATTGAAGTTTAATTAAATAAGAAAAGGTTATAAAATGTGATGTGTATGTGTATATACTGTATGTGTACTTTTTAAAATAGTTATATGTCCTGGTCCTTTTTTATACAGGTTTGAATTTGAAATTGCATTATATATACATATACTTTATTGTTCTAAATAAAGAATTTTATGCACTGTCCTAAGTTTGCTCTTTTGTTTGATATCATAAGATCATTGCATATGTTTATAACATATTCATATTAAGTTAAAATCGAGTTTCCTTTGGGAACTTGTCACTAATCTTGATTTTATGGAAGTATGGACACAAGATGACAAGAAGTCCTTTTAGTTCAATATTCATTGGTCTCTGTATTAGTTTCCTAGGGCTGCCATAACAAAGAACAAACAAACAAATTTGGTGGCTTAAAACAATAGAAAAGCATTGCCCCAACATTCTGGCAGGTTTTATTCCTGAGCAAATGCTGCCCTTTTCATCTCATATGGTTTATTGTTCTAATGAGTACACACCTCCCTGATGTTATTGTTCACGTTATAGGCCTGTCTTGCATTTGGTTGGAAATTGGGCCATGGAGGTGAGTTCAGTTCCAGACTTGAAGAATGTCTAAGGATCCACCATCCTTATCTCAGTATTCCACCATCTCTATCAGACCAGTTAGCTGGTCTTTTCATGATTCTGAGTTTTCCACACTTTTCTCCCATTCTACTCAGGACCTGCTATTGTGATCCTTTTCAGAGCCATCAGCAGTAGTAGCCAGGCACCATCTTGTTCTGGTCTCAGGGTCATGGAGCCTGGGGTTCACATGATCCATTAGTCCTGTGAACTAATAGTTTCCTTGTGACTTTGATTTTCATCACTTTTCTTTGTTCCAGACAAAAAGAAACCAATAGTTGGCTTTAGGTGGCTGCTCACAAGCTTTTAAAGCCCCAGTTGCTGCTTACAAAAGTAGGATGTAGAACATGTCTATGCGGCCTATCTTATGCCAGTTGGCCTTAGTGTCCCCCTGAGATTGTGTTCCTGAACCACAGGCCCGGTGACTCATTCCCTCAATATGTTTGGTTATGGCTAAAAAATTTTCATAACTGATGCATGTATGCTGTACTATGTTGTGTTGTTAAGTGCTGTTCAGTCATCTCTGATTCACAGTGACCCTATGCATGGCAGAACCAAACACTGCCCAGTCCCATCCCAGCTCCACGATCCTTGCTATGCTTGAGCCCATAGCTGCAGCCACTGTGTCAATCCATCTTGCTGAGGGCCTTCCCCTCTTTTGTCGACCCTACACCTTACGAAGCATGACATCCTTCTCCAGAGAATGGTCCCTTCTGACAACATGAGCAAGGTAGATGAGACGAAGTCTGGCCATTCTTGCTTCCAAGGAGCATTCCAGCTGCACTTCTTTCAAAGGCAGATTTGTTAGTTCTTTTAGCAGTCCATGGTACTTTCAGCATTCTTTGCCAGCACCACAACT